GGCGAAGTGCAGAAGCGTTTACGATGCCTATCTAGGAAGCATGCTAAGTTCATGATTGCCTTTGTGACTCATGCATTAAGGGCGTAAAGGCCTGAAGGGTCATAGGTTTTGTCAGCAAGTTACATAAAGTGACAGAATGATGAGTGTGTGGGGGGGAAAGTTCCCGGTACATTTTATCTGTTTATGGCAAAGCGTGGCAGGTCCCTAATAATGTCAAGTGTCAGGCCTGTCACTAGGAGGAAGGACATCTGGTCAGGGAGGGAAAAGGTGTTGGTAACGGCTGGGGACCTGTAAGAGGAGGTCATAGGGCAAGTGAGGATGTAGTGAGGGAGGGTGTGAGAGTCGGGTTGGCCACAAAGCTTACAAACAGTGCGGCCAGGCTCAGGGTTGTCGATGTACTCCCATAGGTACCTGTACCCTAGGAGCAGTCTCATGTACATAATCTGTTGAGATCGAGTCAAGGATTGATACTCTTTGTAGTGGCGGTTGGAGACCGCTGGCTGGAGGAGGGTCAGAGTGTCATGGTCACGTTAACTGCTAGTCTGTTTTAACTAATGATTCTTATTAAACTCCACGACGGCAAAACATGAGTGGGTTAGCAACCCCTGAGAAGAAGACATGTTTTTCCCCATCGACGCTACACGTGTTCCCTCCCAGTGTCTCGCCATTGTGAAGACGACAGTTGTCGATCAGTTGTTATTCCACTTTCTCCTGGGAAGCTCAATCTTGAATTAGTCTGTGTAAATCAACTCAAGTAATTTGCCAGACCTTTGTCAACTGAGGGTCATCTTTGAATGAGTAACAGTTAGAGTTGTTTGTAATTACTGTCATTGCGTGAGTAGCGATCACTGGCAACTCAGGGGTATATATACCATCGCATCACGCAAGGCGAGCGTCCCCTGACGTCTCTCCAACGTTTGTCCCCAGGTATGTTTATGTGTAGCCATTCAGTTTGATTCAGTCGATTGTATTGAATATCAGTGTTCATCAGTATTCATGCTTTAACTGTTGAATTGTCATTCACCCAGTGTAAGAAGTACTATAACGTAAATATGTCTGTCGTTCCCAGACAAGAGATTTGTTTTGTTTGTGTTGTCATGCTTCCCAAGTCCCCTGACGCCACTCCTACATTTGTCCCCAGATCCAATTGTGACTCGTGGATCATTCAACAACTGCCCAGGATGTAGTAGCTACCCAGCAGGGATCAATATATGAAACGATGGCACCGATGCGGCCTGATTAATATGCTCCACTGCCTCGTAGTGCCAGACCCCAGACTCACCATGTGTCTGGCTACCACCGACCACAACAACGGTCTTTGAGCCCCAGTGTTCTACTCCGGGACACTCCCTGGAAGTTATATGTCAACAGAGGGTGTTGTAACATATATGTTGGGGATAATTAGTTGGAAATAATTATCCCATGTTGGGTAGTGGACCCCTGTATCTGCTAGTTTCAGTATTAACGTGTATGTTGAGTAAAGTACCTGGTAATGTGTGAAAAGTGAAGTTGTCCACTTGGGACTAGGAGTAAGGTCTTGTAACTGTACTGAGAAGTACCACTTGGAGTGGCAGTAAAGTAATGTACAAGGAATGTCATGTAATATGTATTGTGAGTAGGGCCAAGGAACCAGTCCTGCTATGTAATGTAATGTAACACCAGTAAGGTTGTGTGCAGTAAGAGTGTAAGATCTGAGTAATTACTGTTGAGTAAAGAAATAAGAAAATAAGTAAATAAGAAAATAAGTAAAGAAGAAGGTACTGAGTCTGCACTAAGCCCAGGAGTTGAGCCTGGTAGTTATATGTTAATAATATTTCCTTTTTCCCTTTGATTTCATATTAATAAACTTGTTCTTAGAGTATTTTAGGTGTATTCATTTCTCCCACAGTTTTATACCTATATTTCCGTCCAAGTGACTTGATACCAGAATTACCATACCCATGTGCCTAGACCCTCGTCCATGCTACCAAAAGAATATGTGACGGAACTGAGTAAGAGTAAGAAAAGAACAAGAGAAGTAAGAAAGATAAGGGTGGTGTAGGTGTTGGAAAACACGCGCCCTTACAAGAGGGCCCCTGACCTGACCTCACTCTAAGCCATGCATTCCATCCGTACACAGGTAACGTCTTGTAGTCCATGTTCCATCTCGTTATATTAAGTGTTTTTGACTTAACTATTTGTTGTTTGAATATGCAGTGATCAATTAACGTAGCTGTGTTGTGTTTAAGTTGTGTTCAAGCACCTTCAGCCTTGTAATGTTACAACATTCGTGTCACTCACTCTGAGCCGCGAGTTCCATCCTTACAGAGAGAGAGAGAGAGAGAGAGAGAGAGGCCAAGCTGGTCGTGTCGACCATGGGACGACGTCACACTGTCATGGTTACACTGGCACGGCTGATCTGCTTGAAACCTGATGATTCATATTATGCTCCACGCCCTCAAAACATGTGAATAACTGGTGATGTAGTGTTCGTGATATTATGTTGTCTAGCACTCAGGATGGATGGATAGAAACTCTAGATGGTGGTTTTCTTATATAAAATATATTGTATAAAAGACAGTCTGGTGCTGGAGATGCTGTGTGGTGAGGAGCTTGCTTGGAAGATACGTTCAGTGAGTAGCGTGCTTGAAGAGGTATCTGTGCAGGAGCTTCATTAGAGGAGATGTTGCATGTTGCTGTCCTCCCGTTATTTAGAAGGAGGACAGGTACCCAGACATAAATATCCCCAGACGACTATTGACAAATTTGAAGTAGCGGAGGGGGTATTGTATTTAGTGAAGGAACAAATTGATAAAGCATTGATGTACTGCCTTGTAATACCTGATCATTTGCATAGAGCAGCATAAGAGTGGGCACATAACAGAAAGACATCAGGTCACTTAGGACAATGGAAGACTATAGCCAGAGTAGAAGGCCTTTTCTATTGGCCCAATTATCGCAGAGAATGTGTGAAATTTGTAGAATCATGTGAAGTGTGTCAATGATTTAAAGGGACAAAAGGGTTAGAACAGCAATGGCAGGGGATGTCAGAAGTAACTAAACCCTTGGAGAGAGTATCTGTGGACTTGACAGACTTACATAATAGTGTGAATGGATATCGCTATGTGTTGACCGTCATAGATCACTATTCTATGTTTGTCCATTTCTATCCTTTGAGAACCAAATCCACTAAAGAAATGACCAGAGAATTTGGTAAATTCATTAATGTTTTTGGTAGGCCTGGAGTAGTCATTGCAGATAATGGAGGTGAATTTAGAGCAACACAGTTTAGAGAATTATGTAAAGTAACTGGCATTAAGAACTATTTTACATTGCCTTACCACCATAGAGGTAATAGTGTTGAGTGGGTATAGGTAAACAAAGCCTCGAGAAAAGTAAGGCGGCCCTAAAGCACACCTTACAAAATCACGGCACGGCAGTATCCAACCTTTTCGTGAATTACTGTACTGTACGTCACGACGTGTATCAAAATCATCAGTTTCTAGTAATGAAAACTTAATATGGTTTGTTTGTCCTGCTCAAATATCTAAATTAAACATGGGCCATAAATAATAAACAAAGATGGATAGAGCAGGTCACTGAACTCGATTGGGTAAGTAGTAATATGAAGATGCATAGCAAATTACACTTCAATACACAGTACCATCCACAATTTGCTAAATGGACGAGGCATATCATAAGAGACGCACAGATGGACGAGGAGATGGGTAAAACACTATATGCCCTCCTCATATTATCTGGCAGGGGCTAAAAGGATAAGGTAATTTTCTGGTGTGTGTGTTATGAGGATTACGGCAAACTCGCCCAAGTACCAGAACAACTCAAAAAGTGTAAACTCTCTGACCATAAATAAATAATAGAAATGAGGAAGAGAAATTAGCAACAGATACAGAAGAGGAGATGAAGAATGCAAAAGCAGCAGAGGGAAAAGAGGAAGTGTAGTGGCAGCCAAGATGGCAACAACACGAAGAGGACTACGGTATTCCAAAACAAGGTGTAAAAATGTACAATTGGTTTGGTTCATTATAATACAACAATGTCCTTAATTACCTTCATAGACTGCACATTCAAACATTTAGCCTTATAAAAAGAACAATTGCAGTACTACAAATAAATAATATTTTCACAATATACAAAACTCATCATTGAAATTCTTGCTCCCACCCCTCTACAGTATTGCAAGTCATCGTGGAATCGACGGGACACTGTCCTAACAGACACGCCATTAAGCAACCTTGGATTCTGCTCCTTAAATTGCCATGCAGACAAACATGGATTGTGTAGGGATGCAATAGCTACTAGTACATCCCTTGACAAAATATTGTAATCGCTCATTCTTCCGCGAGACAGCACAATGCTTGCACAAATGTGTAAAATCCTGGGTCACAGGTGGGAAGGTCAGCAACAGGGGTGCTAAATCAAGGAAGCTGCGCAGGCTACGAATCTCCATTTTCACGCTTCTTCCGGCCACCCTGATCCCAGGTGCAGTTGCCAGATGTAAAAAAAAAAGCGACCAATTTGAACGGTAACTAGACTAAACATGGTGGGTCGATTGTAGCTTTTGAAATTGTCGCCGCGCTCCCGGCAATAATTTCAATGACAGGTACTGTATACTTACACCTCAGACCATTCAATCTGTCATAGGAAAATAAATAGCAAGAGAGCACCGAGTTACCTGGTGACTGTAGAGAACCAACGAGAGCCACCAGGTGACTGCATAGGACCACTGAGTTACCTGGTGACTGTAGAGGAGCAATGAGTCACCTGAGTGCACCAACTTCCACGTTGACTTGCTCAATAAAGCTTATAACAGCTTACTTAGTGCAAAGCAATGTACTCTAGCCAAAGAAATAGGTAGTATAATCAGCACGATATACAGATACTTGAAATATAATTTAACCCTCCTCAATACTGTGCTATACATTTGGTAGATACAGGTGTGATATATTATCACAATAGGAGGAGGTCTTTACAATATCTGGAACACAAAACTATAAAAATATACTGATAAAGGACTGTATTCTTTAAACTATTTAGCATATACACCAGCCCATCGACTGATTTCCCCCACCATAGGAGATCCCCCAATGTGTCAGAATTGTCCTGAACACTGGCAGGCGAGTGACTAAATAAACACAGCAATTTAATGGTGGAAATCTGTCAACCCTCGGGGCAATGTACACACACACCATGGTGGTACAGTTTGAACAATACCTCCTTGAGACATGTAATAAACTAAAACAATGTTGATGATTGAGCCCAAGCGACATGAGGCAATCAATTGAAGAGGACCGACTCTGGGTCCTCACTCTCCAGGAACTTGATGTGACGCAGAACATCCTTCTTGGTGATGATCCCCAGCAGCCGTCTGCAACACCAGACACAATAATCTTCAGTTCAGCTGTCACATGCACAGTCCTTACACCTAACTTCTACTGACAATAGCTTCTGACTGAGGGCTAATGGTTGCAAGAGGTGCACCGGGGCACAAGGCCAGCTTTCATTCGTGAGGTCTTGTACCCAAATTGTACTAACCCACATAGAATATGAAGAAAAAACCATGCATGGATATCTTCAATGTGCCGACTGATACCTAAAGATTATAACCAACGGAACGTATAAAAGCAAGACCTTACCCATTGTGTGTGACGAGTGTTTGCCGCAACCCCAGCTTTCTGAACATGTCGACCACTGTCTCCATTGGCGTTTGGTCAGTGATGGTGATGGGTGCGAGATCCAGGATCTTGCGAAGGCGGAGAGGTGGAGGACCCATCCACGGTGATGGCACCGACGCCGTGAACAACACAACCGACTCACCCACAATTCCTTCTGTGCTTTTTTAGCTTGATCTGTGGATATTAATTTAGTTGTACAAAATGCCACAATAAAAGAAACTACAGTACTACAACTCTATTAATCACAAAAGAAACTACACTATCAATCTATTTAACCTCACAAGAAATGAAAGAAATTATTATAATTTAATTTAACCTTTAAAACATAATACATCTCAATACGCAGCCATCCTCTTACCTCTGAACTGTCACATTGCACATCCACCTCACCATTTTCATTTCAGCTCACTCAAGGCAGTAAAAGATGGTCTTTAACTGCCATACAACATCACACTTCTCCAATAAGCTACATACATTCTGCCTTTCATGTGGAGGAAAGGTTACTCTTGCTGTCAATAAAGGCAGCAGCTCCCTAGCTACCTCCAGCTGTTTCTGACTCTTGCAACAGAGCAGGCTTCAGCACCACCACCGCCACTGACCATGTCACCCGAATAACATGATAACTTAATAACCTTAAACAAGCTCAAGCAACAAACAATACATGTGTACAAGTTTACCAAAATAAGAAAAAGAGTTGTTTGTCAAGTTGTTTGTCAAGTGTTATAAAACTGGAGTGTTCTCTCAATAATGTTTTTGGTGTTATTAAGTTTTAAAATGGTTCAGATAATTTATGGACACTCAGACACTGGTGACTTACTGATGGCAATATTTAGGTCCCTTTTGGCAACAAAACCAACCAGGTACTGAGACTGCCGGCTCACCACCACGGGGAACCCATTGTGGTCCGTCTCTCGAAGAAGCTGCTCCACATCGTCCAGGGTCATACTGTCTTGGGTTATCACGAAGAAAGACTCATGTTTCCTGTCGATGATAACCAGGGTAAGAATCATTGGTTAGTGATTAGAAAATAGTTCTTTGACAATAATTTTCTTTAAAAAAAAAGAATTCATAATGTACTTAAGCTCATCAGTGATAAATGAAAAATGTTCCACCACAACTGTAAGGCAACAAGTACAGTACAGTACGGTAAACCCTCTATATAAGGGACAGGTTTGCATTCATTAGTCTGGTATTGGAAGGGTTTACTGTAAGGAGAAAAGAGGAGGAGTGCAAATTCAGTAAAGACTCACCCTGACTTCATCACATCATGTGCAAGAGTGGTGTGACTGAACTCTTCCTTGGAGTCTAAGAATGGATAACCGTTGAGGATAATGTGGGCATCATAAATACCCTCACGACCAAATGCGTCCCCAATCCACTTGCTGGGCATCACTGCAGCCATGAGAGGCACAATGTAACGTACACCTCCCGTCAGCTCAAACATGATCACTACCAATGACACTGTGGAAGAAAACTCGTGTAAAAGACAGAATCTCCTTTACAGAAATCTTTCCTGGGTGACCAGAAAACTCTGCAGCAAAAAGGGGTAAATCAGCTCTTACTGTAATATTTGAGATCTAATTTTTGGGTGTCTTTTGTGAATACAGGACATGACAGGATATAAAATATATATACATCTTTATTATACAAAATATAATTTATCTTGTATGTAGTAAAATAGTCAAGATGTGTTAGTACAATTGCAAGGTTTTTCTAAATTTGGAGGACAAAAATTACTAAAACAATAAAAAGCAGGTAAAATTTTACTACAACTTTTTCATTTATAAATTGATACAGTGCTGTAGTTGTGACTCAATATCTCCCATTCACACACACAAAAAAAATAAACAGATATTTGAGACGAATCACTAAATTAAATTAAACACCAATATATAATATACTGCATACATAAAATACAAAGGGTTATTTACCAGTCATGCGCGTGACCCCACCAAGCACAGCTGCCGCCCCAACCATGGCATACAGCCCAGGTGTAATGCAGTTCTCCCCTGTGCTGCACTCCCCAGCAAACCCCGCCCAGTCTTGATTGTGAATGAAAAGAAAAAGATGTTGGTTAAGGGTTTAAGTTTCAAAATGGCTCTGATAATTAATTTATGGGCACCAGTTATACTGCCAGACTGGGGGTCACTAATTCTAAGGGGGAATACTTAACTCTTATCTTAATTTCTAAGGGTCGGTGCCACCAGACCCCCTCTGGACAGCATGTAGCTCGTTAGGTAGCGTGCAGAGTGGACTAGGCATTGGGTTAGGTTTTCCATTGACCAGATCGATAAGGGTAAAGAAGGGTGAAACCATAACATGTCTTAATTAATTTACTCCTTATAAAGCAAACTGGTAAAAAACATACACATGAATTGGTCTTCCTCGGAAGAACAACGAAAATGTTGGTTACCCAGATGGGCACCAGACGTCTTACATTAATGGCGTGTCATCCACATACTTATTGCATAACAATCTGTGACCACCTTACCTCGGTCATTCCTTCTTACACTATCCCTTAACACATCAGACTGCTCCACCTGTATGGAATATAACACCGTCGGTTATCATACATAGTAGTACCATCTCAACACACCTGTTACACTCCACCCCTGCAGGTATGGGACTCTTGTAACTTTTAGGTATACACAACAGGCACCTCGTTCGCACACCGCCCTCGGTGGGTAAAGACGAGGGCTTCACCAAGAGACATACCAGTACTATTTCTACGCCTGGTATTATAGGTCGCTCCAAGTGACGACCGCAGAGTTTCTCACGGTCTCCTTATTTGTTACTACTCATTTGGAGTGGTGTGCTGGAAATCCACAGGTTCACAGTGGATTGGCATAGCTGGGAGTAGTCACCACCTGTTGGGACGCTCATAGGGATAATGGCTGCCGGGCAGCAAGGCACTCCGACCGCATGGAACCTGAGGAGACGGTAGAACGGAGGGTACTGAGAAATAATGCCTGACACATTACTATTACACTTATATATCAGGCAAAGCTTTAAACTGTAATAACTTCTATATAAGCCTTAATTATAGGGCGGGATATAGCCCGATAGGAGACTGACCTGAGGTGACGGTAGAACGGAGGGTACTGAGGGCAGTGCCCTGCCGCTCATCACCGCGTAGGCCTACAGTTTCCAATCTTTAATTTTTACTTTTATTTCTTACGGTTCTCACCTGAACACTTTTCGGTATATTGTCACTCATCCGTATAAACACATATTTTAATCCTAAATTACACACTAAGATAAGGTCTTGGTTTGCTATTTCGTGGGTAAATTCATTGGGTTATAATATCAACGCGGCACACCCGAGGCGGGTACATGACCCGCCTTAAAACAAAGGCTGAATGTTCATGGCGGGGGTGTATCAACTTCACTTAAAATTCACACATTGCACCATTTGAATACAGACATAAGATTCTATGATCACTGTACCTGTCGTGGGTATATGTCACGTGAGGATACGAGGTGTATTAAGTCCATACAGACTCATACAAGAGTATTTCCTTTCAAGTATAGTTTCTGGGTCACTTCCAACACCTCACATAGTTCTGATACATTTATCCTTTTTCCAGATCATTGTTCTCATGTATTTTCATATGATATCTGTGGAAGTTATGTTCGCTACACGTTCACAGAATAAATAATATGACCTTCAAACCCTGATCCACACTTAGTCCTACAGTACACTAGTCCGGCTCAACTGGACTTTAACATTCATCTTATGGATACCCTGAGTTCTCCTTAATGCTATGAATACATACAATTAATATGATATAACTGTACCTGGGTACAATACAACACATGGTCTAGTAACATTGAGTAGGTGAGTTATCCTTTAACAGTGTTTCCCGTTTTCTGAGATTCTACAAGCACGGTGGATTTGAATGTTATATAGCGTAATATGAATTAAATGGGTTTTTTAGGAATGACAATGATGTGCGCAGTACATAGCCTTCCCCTCCCAAAGATTCATATTATGCGGAATAATATGCAAAAGCACTAACGCTGTAGTGTACATACATTTTACAACACCCTAACAGTTCGTGATTACAGTGCCTTAATACATCAAACAAAACATAAGGAGACTTAAACGTTTCCCACGAGCGTCTCCACTACCATATACATCGGACAACTGTTTACAATCCTGCTACTTCGGTACACAATATATCATTAAAAAGAAAATTATAAGGAGACAAACTTTTCATACTCGAGTCTCCGTTACCTGTACGTCCAACAACTTATCAATTCTTATTTCAGTACAATATAGTATAGGGAACATGCCCCTAACAGTTCATCAGCGTATTACCTCAACATACTTTTGGCACCAGCACATAAACAGTGACTCTTTGACATTACATCTACAACAAAAGTTCTCTGCATGAAATTACATATCCTAAGGAATTTAAATTCTTGTCTATGAATGGGGAATTAGTTACATCAGACACTTCCTCAGATTACTACTTCGTTTCAATAATAATTCACCTTTTCAACACAAAACCGTGGTTCTAGACTACACATTGGGGCTCATAACACAAGACACGTATTTTCTATCTCACAGTTTAGAAGAACTGGTATTTCAAGGTCGGGGTGACTCCCTCACCCGGAGCGAGTCAACAACCCAAAAAACTTTCGACACACATAAAAACTGAGATTTCTCCCTTCGACAACATAGGCAGCAACTGGATTTCCGGACTTCAGTTCATAAGAACTGGGATTTCAAAGTCGGGGTGACTCCCTCACCTGGAGTGAGTCAACAACCCCCCCAAAAAATATTCTGACACACATAAACTGAGATTTTTCCTTTCGACAACATAGGCAGCAACTGGATTTCCAGACTTCAGTTCGTAAGAACTGGAATTTACAATGTTGGGGTGACTTCTGTACGACTGACGAAGTCAACAACCCCAAAACAAAACATTTTCAGACAATATAGATACCACTACTAACAGCTGATCTTCAAAAAGCATCCCGACAAACCATCTGAGCAACTGTCTCTCCCACCAAAAACTTTATAATTCAACAAATCAACAGAACAAACTGGAAAGCCAAAAATATTCAATTGAAGCAACATTCTGGAACTATATTTCCTACAAATCCATTCTAACTACTGGTCTCCTCTGCCTCACAGGGAATCTACTTGCAGGTTGACCTTCCACATTTCCGTCATCACTTTCCTCATCTGTTTCGTCTGAACCTGAGCCCGAGGAAGAATCATAAGGTGGTAGTAGGGGCTCATTCAGCTGAACAAACATGTCTCTACATACATACCTCTTTACTTTCTCAGCCGCTCTCTTTATCACCTTACTTTCGTCCAAGGGGTTAGTCAACTCATACGCCGCACCATCTCGTATAATTTCTGTTATAGTGTACGGACCCCTCCACTTGGTATTCAACTTCCTACTGGTCCCAGGGTTGGGCCATTCATTCCTCACCCATACTGTTGTAACGACCACGGTCGTACACGTCAGTTAACGCCAAAATCAAATGATTCATATTACGCTCAATAGCCCACAAAACATGTACCTCTGCTTTTATTTTGAGTCCTCCATCTGAGGAGTCCGTTTTCTCATCACTTCAAGACGCCTCAGTCCTCCGTTATCCCATTTTCTCTGACTTACTGAAACCAACCTCTCTATATAATGAATTTGAATGAGAGAGAGAGCACCCTTGTTTTGAGTCAACTTAGATATGTCTGTTTACAGTTGGAACATTCAAGATCCATTGTGAGTGGTGTTGAACGCTTCAACTGTCCTTATTGTTAATAAGACATGTCAAGTAAGTGAGTGTTGAGTCTGCCAGGACAAACAATACCCATCTGTTTCGTTCCCTAAGAATACCCATGAGTTTCTGATCGCTACTGAAGTTATGTTATTTTGTCGCCCCGACATCAGAGAATCTGATGTTCATAGTTTAGTTAGTGTCAGTTGTCTATTTAAGGAAGTCATTCATCTTCTGAACAGTTCCTGTCAAACTCAAAATTCTCCCAGATTTAACGGCCGTTTGACCGGGGATGTGGTTTGCGGTCAGGTCAATAGAGTTGCGAACGCATATATAACTTCAATTCACCTCTTTACTGACAAACTCAATCTCTGATTAAATCATAAATATAGATGTAGAAAATTAGCCTGATCTGTGACACTGACGGTCACAGCTAGGTGTCCAACGACTACTGTGAATAGAGGGTCTATTGTTAGTGAAATTTATCTTTCTGGTAGGAATATGCCCTCAGGCCTGTATATATGCAGGCGCTCGAGGGGAAATCACTCCTTCTGTGATTTCTCCTCCACGTCTCCAGGTATGTTCACGTGTGTTCCACGCCGCCATATTAACTCAGTTTAACTTAGTCATTTTTTGTGAATATCAGTGTTCATGTTTTAACATAGTACCTTCAGTGCCAAGTGAGTCAAGTAAAGTAGAGGTCTAGCTATCGTCTGAACCGGTGCCAGACGTATGTTTTGTATAGTGAAGTAAAATATTCACGCCTTCTGTGATTTCTCCTCCACGTCTCCAGACGCGGATGTGTTAGCCACTCTCCTGAGGGTCGATAGCTACCTATGGGCAAGATGGTTCTTGAAGACTGTCTCTAAGGGGGCGCATTTAGAATCCCAGGACACGATTCCCCCGGGAAGCGCCCCCACCACTCTGCCAGTGTGTAACGAGTCAACCTCCCTGAGTGCACCTAGCGAGAGAGCCTTCAGCTTGGCGGTCGCTGTAAACAACTGTGCCCGCTGACTCCACCTGGAGATTGTACTTCATCTATTGCATGGAGCAGTGTCGGCCCATGTTTGGAGGGATAACTAGCAGAAATATAGTATCCCGGTTAGGTATTGAACCCCTGAATGAGAGTTCAAGGTACCAGGTGGTTCCTTGTGAAGTGATAAGAAATATTGTATGTTACTAATTGTGGAATTGCCCAGTGTGTTATGTATTCATCTGTAGTACCCATGAAAGAATAACCTGAGAGTATCATGCTCTACTCAAGAAGTGGAGAGGTAATTTGTTACTT